TGGGCTTCCTGATTGGCATATGGCGGAGGTCGTTAGCCAATGAGAGATGGAGGGTGCGCCGTGGGCTTCCTGACACGACATTCCTTCACACTTACAACGTGCACACGTCAGCTCACTCAAAAGTGCAAACAGCGTGGAAAAACAAGGGATTTCTTGACAGAAGAGACCCAAGCCCTGGAAACCACAGGCTCACTCCTATATGTGCCCAGGTCCCAGCAGGAGAAAGTCAGGCGGCCTCGTTCCTGTGGCCCTGCCAGTAACTCGCCCCTTCTCAGTCTCCCCACACAGCCTCAGTGGACTCCACACTGGCTACCATCTTTTCTTTTCAGATGAATGTCTGTGGAAATGATATCTAGAATGAGATGTCAGTTGATGTGGTTTCTGTGCAATGATGGTTAAATGGGTCAGCCATAGGGGACGGTCACTGTGAGATTAAATGGGTCAGCCGTAGGGGACAGTCACTCTGTTGTTAAAAGGGTCAGCTGTAGAGGACAGTCACTGTGAGGTTAAATGGGTTATATGTAGGGGGCGGTCACTCTGAGGTTAAATGGGTCAGTCTGAGTGGATGGTCACTGTGAAGTTCAATGGGTCATCCACAGGGGATGGTCACTCTGAGGTTAAATGGGTCACCCATAGGGGACGGTCACTGTGAGGTTAAATGGTTCATCCATAGGGGACAGTCACTGTGAGGTTAAATGGGTTATATGTAGGGGGCGGTCACTCTGAGGTTAAATGGGTCAGCCATAGGGGACGGTCACTCTGATGTTAAAAGGGTCAGCCGTAGAGGACAGTCACTGTCAGGTTAAATGGGTCAGCCATAGGGGATGGTCACTCTGAGGTGAGAGGGTCACATCAAGCTCCTGTCATTTTAATGTAGATTGGGTGACTGGCTCCATGGTGTGGGAGCCCCACAGGATGGTCCCTTTTTGTGGGCAGAGCAGGCCTGCCGTGGCTTATTAGGAGAATGAGTGACGGCCCTCACTGCCCCTTTGTGGGGCCCCAGAGTGGTAGGCACCCAGTCTCTTTTGCCCTGGGGGGGTCCCTGAATATTCTCCCTTCAGCCCCAGCATGTAGAGGAGAAACTGAAGCCCCGAGCGGCCTTGGGGGCCTTAAGGCGCAGGCCTGGCAGCTGCACGGCCCAAGAGATGCCAGGACCTTTTCATGGTTCCTGGAATGTGTGAGGTTTTGTTAAGGCACTGAGGAGTCCCCTAAGGATGCTGAATGAATGTGGTGTTTTCTCCATCCTTGCCCTGTCAGCCTGGGGCCGGTGTCCTCCTCCCTCCTCGGGGAGCCAGAGTGGAGAAGTGGAGAAACTTGCCGTCCCACGGCTGGTGGCCGCGCCCTCTCTCCATCCTCTGAGCTGCTGGTCTCACGCTGGTGTGCTCCTTCTCTCTGCACCCCCTCCAGATACCAAGCTAGAGTTCCCTGGTGTGTGCTGTGGGTTTTAGTGTCTCTTTGGGCATGGGTGAGCTCTACCTCACTGGTGTGTGCTGTGGGTTTTAGCGTCTATGTTTTGAGGCATGGGTGAGCTGTCCTTTGCTGGTGTGCGCTGTGGGTTTTAGTGTCCCTTTAGGCACGGGTTAACTGTACTTTGCTGGTGTGCGCTGTGGGTTTTATTGTCCCTTTAGGCACGGGTTAGCTGTAGTTTGCTGGTGTGCGCTGTGGGTTTTAGTGTCTCTTTAGGCACGGGTTAGCTGTACTTTGCTGGTGTGTGCTGTGGGTTTT